TATATATATATTTTTAGTTGTCCAGATCATTTCTTTCTATTTTTAGTAGAGACGGGGTCTCGCTCTTGCTCAGGCTGGTCTCGAACTCCTGATCTTGAGTGATCCACCCGCTTCTGCCTCCCAGAGTGCTAGGATTACAGGCGTGAGCCACCACGCCTGGCCCAACTGACATTTTTTTTATAAGGCAATTTCATTCTCAGTTTTTAGATTTGTTAATGAGAATAACTGTATGAAGTGACTTCAGTAATGCAGGGACTGCCTCTTGACAAATAGACTTGTCTGTTATTTACAGGCTTCTGAGGAAAATTTGCCTCGACTGTAAGGATAATTGTTGTTATGTAGGGGTCTCAGTGTTGCACTTCACACTCCTTACGGAGATGAGAAGAAGATAAAATTTGTGCTATAGTTAAGAGAACAGACTCTGGAGTTGGCAACTATCTGGGTTGGGATACAGATTCTGTTTTTCTCTCTGAGGCCCTGAACAAGTAACATCCCACCTTCCTATGCCCCAATTTCTCTTTGTATAAAATGGGGATAATATTGTAACCATGCTACTACACACACATACACACACAAATGTATACACTCTATCTAGGAGGGTTAGCTAAATGAACTTAGCCCAGGATGAGAGCCAAAATAAAGCACTAATTTTTTATTTTGTAGTAATGGGATCCTTTATAAATCAGTTGCTATGGGGCTTGGTTATTAAATTGACTACTCCTTCGAACTTTTAAAATCTGTACAAATTAAGTCAGAACCTGGTCTCAGAATGTTATACTAATGCATTCCTAACTGGTCCAGGCTATATTTAGATTCTGAAATCACTGGAAAGGGGGTATGGAATAGTGTAGTGATTAAGAGCAGGAACTGTGGATCTACTTAGCCTGGGATGGAATACCAGCTTCAGAGCCTATGCATATAAACCTGGGCACATACATAACTCCTTATGCGTCAAATTTCGTATCATAAAATGGGGATAATAAAGATACCTACATCACTGAATCATTTGAGGATTGAAAGAGTTGATATATAACAAGAACGTAAGGTGGAAATAACCCAATGTCCATGGGTGGATGAACAGATAAAATGTGGGTATATACATACAATAGAATATTATTCAGCCTTAAAAGGAAGAAAATTCTGACACCTACTACAACACAGATGTACCCTGAAGACCTTACACTAAGTGAAATAAGTCAGATGCAAAAGAACAAATATTGCACGAGCCCACTTACATGAGGTACCTAGAATAGTCAAATTCATAGAGATAGAAAACAGAATGGTGGTTACCAGGAGCCAGGGGGAGGGAACAGGGAATTACTGTTTAGTGGGTACAGAGTTTCAGTTAGGGAAGATGAAAAAGGTTCTGAAGATGGGTGGTAGTGATGGTTGCACAACGATGTGAATGTACTTAATGCCACTGAACTAACTATACACTTAAAGATGGTTAAAATGGTAAATTCTGTGTTAAGTATATTTTATCACAACAAAAATAAATACACACTTACATTTTGAAAAGTACATAGGGCCTAAATAATAAACACTATACTATATAAGCATTGGTTGCTATTATTATTATCAATTATTTATAACTTATTATTAACACAGTTTATAAACATGTATGAGCCCTGGAAGGTTACAGGAAGCACACTGAAAAGGTACCAGGGCTTTTTCTGTTGAGCTTAGTTGAGACACTGCACTCTTGAGGTGTCATCTCCCTGAAATCCCCAACTTTTCCACAGTGGTACCCTGCAGCTACCTGCTGTATTGCATCTGCCTGGTGATGTAAGCAGCTAGCAGTTTTAGGTTCCTATAAAATGTGGCATAGCATCGGTGACAGAACCACACTGGTAACCCTAAAGGCTCTATTTATTGAGCTCCACAGCCAGGTTTTTAGAATTAATAAAAATCAATCTCTAATCACTGCAATATGGCGGACTCTGTTTTCAGAACGTAAATAGTGAGAAAAGACCGTTTGCCATTGAAGTATATATATCCAAGTCTCTTCTCCATATGCCTGTTAAGTTCATCCCTCAGAATTTAAAAAGCTTATTGGGTATCTCCTGATTCTTTTTTGTTTACTTTGTGTGACTGGAAGATGGGACTGCTGAGAAAGGTGCAGTATTTGCTTGATGCAGTTTCTACTGGTGTGACAAATACACATTTGTACAATGTGATTTCTCTCATTTTACTCAAATTCAATAGGACTGTAATGAAAACCAATATCACAAATGCTGGGATTCATGCAGTAATTGAAATGAGTGAGATGAGTGATTACAAACTCTGATGCTATCCAATTACTGTTTACCGTAACTGCAAAAAACAAAAAAAATCCCACATGCAGCATTCACATGTGAACTGCATTTCCATGAGAGATAAGAACACCAGAATGACAAATCCTTGAGAGGTTTCCCTCTGGCTGCTCTCCAGGTGAGATATCAGGAAATAATGCATGGCTGATTTTCTTTTTCTAGAAAGACAAATTGTTTCAGACTCTGCTAAAGTTGCCTGATATTTTTCATGTGCCTTGTCTAAAGAGGCTCTAAAAAGCCTCAATGGTGAGGTTTCACTAAGCACCTCACTTCAGCACAAGTTACTCATTTCAGCACAACTACACATACTAAGTGCCCTCGTTGTCTTCAAAAGAGATCTCATACTAACCCAGAAACAAGTCATGAATCTATTGTTTCAAAGTTGAACAAATTCCAAGTTTTCTTTCAACAAGTAGAATAAACATAATTCATTTCAACTGAATACCTGTTTATTATTATTATTTTTTATTTCAGCATATTACAGGGGTACAAATGTTTAAGTTACATATATTGCCTTTGCCCCAACTGAGTCAGAGCTTCAAGCATGTCCATTCCCCAGACAGTGCGCACTGCACCCATTAGATGTGAATATACCCATCCCCTCCTCTCCCCTCCCACCTGCCCAACACTCAATGAATGTTACTACTATATGTGCACTTGAGTGTTGATCAGTTAATACAAACTCGATGGTAAGTACACGTGGTGCTTGTTTTTCCATTCTTGTGATACTACACTTAGTAAAATGGGCTCCAGCTCTATCCAGGATAATACAAGAGGTACTAGATCACTATTGCTTTTTGTGGCTGAGTAGAACTCCATGGTATACATATACCACATTTTATTAATCCCCTCATGTATTAATGGGCACTTGTGTTGTTTCCACATCTTTCCAATTGTGAATTGTGCTACTTTGAATATTCTAGTGCAGATGTCTTTGTTATAGAATGTCTTTTGTTCCTTTGGGTAGATGCCCAGTAATGGGATTGCTGGATCAAATGATAGTTCTACTTGTAGCTCTTTGAGGTATCTCCATATTACTTTCCACAGAGGTTGTACTAGTTTGTAGTACCACCAGCAGTGTATGAGTGTTCCTATCTCTCCGCATCCATGCCAACATTTATTGTTTTGGTACTTTTTGATAAAGGCCATTCTCACTGGAGATAAGTGATAACTCATTGTGGTTTTGATTTGCATTTCCCTGATGATTGGAGATGTTGAGCATTTTTTCATATGTTTGTTGGCCATTAGTCTATCTTCTTTTAAAAAGTTTCTGTTCATGCCCTTTGCTCACTTTTTGATAGCGTTGTTTGATTTTTTCTTGCTGATTTTCCTGAGTTCCATAAAGATTCCAGTTATCAGCCCTTTATTGGATATGTAGCATGTGAATATTTTCTCCCATTCTGTAGATTGTCTGTTTGCTCTTGTGATAGTTTCCTTGGCTGTGCAGAAGCTTTTTAATTTGATCAGGTCCCATTTATTTATTTTTGTTGTTGCTGTGGTTGCCTCTGGGGTCTTTTTCTGAAATTCTTTGCCTAGGCCAATGTCTGTAAGAGTTTTTACAACATTTTCTTATAGAATTCTTATAGTTTAATGCCTTAGGTTTAAGTCTGTTATCCACTGTGAGTTGATTTTTGTGAGAGGTGAAAGGTGCAGATTCTGTTTCAGTCTTCTACATGTATCTATCCAAATTTCCCAGCAACATTTATTGAATAAGGATTCTTTTCCCCAGTGTGTGTTTTTGTCCGCCTTGTTGAAGATTAGATGGCTCTATGAGGATGGTTTTATATCTGGGTTCTCAGTTCTGTTCCATTGGTCTATGTCTCTGTTCTTGTGCCAGTATCATGCTGTTTTAGTTACTATAGCCTTGTAGTATAGCTTGAAGTCTGGTAAACGGATGCCTCCCCATTTGTTCTTTTTGCTTAAGATTGCTTTTGCTATATGGGGTCTTCTTTGGTTCCATATGAAGCGTAGGATTATTGTTTCTAGATCTGTGAAAATGATGTTGCTATTTTAATAGGGATTGCATTGAATCTGTAGATCACTTTGAGTAGTATAGACATTTTAACAGTGTTG